GGATGTCTCGCACTGCGTGGTGGTAGCGCCCATTCTCCACGCCGTTGACCTCGTAGGCGTCGGCCAGCAGCCTGTTTCGGAGAAGGAGGGGAGTGGCGGGGGCGGGCATGGGGAGGGGGGGGTGGGGGGGGGGTGCCGGGGGGGGGGGGGGGGGGGTGGGGGGGGGGGGGGGGGGGGCAAGCGCAGTGCAGAGGTCCTTCCCCACCGCGCTGCCCCTCAGTCCGACAGCCGGATCTCTGCGCCCAGGACCTCCTTGACCTGCTCGTACGTCACGAAGGCGATGGCAATGGAGGGGACAACCTTGAGGTAGTTGGGGCCCAGCCCCTTGAACAGCGCCTGCGTTGGAATGAGTGTGGGGAGCGGGGGTTCAAAAGGAGGGCAGCCAATATGAGCTGGCCTCCCCAGGCCTGGCATGCAGCGGTTCAGTGGCGCAGCGGGGGGCAGGCCATGGAATCAGAGGTTCAGGCAGGGCCTCGTCTTCCTCATCCCACACATGGCAGTCCCACAGCACGGCTATGGCTCTCGCCCCTCCCACGACCACCCTCCCCTCCTCCCCCCCACCCCCCACGCACGATCCCAGGCCTCACCGTGACGCCCTCCTCACGGATGGTGCGCACGAAGCAGTCGGTCATGCCACTGTAGCGCACCGCCGCGCCCTCGGCGGCGTGCAGGCTCTGCGCCCCCGCCCAGCCCGACATCTGCAGCCGCCGGCGCACGACGTCAAAGGGGTAGGCCACAGTCTGGCCCAGCGTGCCCGCCGTGGCGCCGCAGGCGAGGCGCGTGGCGATGGCCAGGTCCCGCTCATCGCGGCAGCCGTAGGCCTTCACGATCAGGTCCTTTAGCGTCTCGTACACCGCAAAGTTGAGGCCGACATAGGGCACGACGCCGATGACGGAGGGCAGCCAACCGCGCCACAGCGCCACCAGCCCCTCCTGCGCCACGATGCTGCTGGCGGCGTGCCACATGCCACGGTACTGCGCGTGGGAGGAGTGCTGCACCGTGATGCGCCCCCGGATCATGTCCAGCGGGTAGGTGGCCGACATGCCCACAATGCCCGCGCCGGCGCCCGCCGCGAGGCGCAGGCCCGGCGTCAGCTGCCCGTCGCCGCCGCGGTCGATCAGGGCGTGGCTGATCTTGCGCGACAGCTGCTCGTAGGTCATGAACTTGATGGCCTGGTTGGGGATGATGCGAATGCAGTTCAGCCCGTTGCCCTTAAACAGGCCGCGGATGCCGTCGCTGACCCACATATGGCGCACGCCCTGGCGGGGAGGAGGGGATCGGGGGGAGAGGGGGAGTAGGGTGGGAATGACTTGGTGTGGATCACCCCAGATGAGACGCGAGAGGGGGCGGGGGTTGCCAGACGTGCGGCGCGTCCAGCATCCAAACCCCACTCCCAGACCAAGCCAGGGCCCCAGTGCGAGGCATTACAATACAAGCCGCGCATGCAGGCAGGCCCTGCAATGCACAAGCAGTGATTTTGTAGCCTCTTCGTGGGGCCCAGGAAGCAACAAGAGCCCAATTCTGGCATATGAGCACAGACAGCACAAGACATCGATAACCCACATCCCACCACAGGCATACACACACAGAGTCCCTGCCCACCTGGAAGATGCCGGTGTACACCTTCTCAGTGCCTTGGACCTGCATGAGAATCTTCAGCCGCTCTAGGGGGGCCACCGAGGTCCGGCTCCTGCAGGTCGGGCCGGGCGTGGGTTGGGGACCAGGTCGGCAGGGCTGCAGCACATGGGGGCGCCTACAGTGCTCGACGGGTGCCCCTTCGCCTACAAGGGTCCGAATCCCCAACTCACACAGCCCCAGCGATTCCTCCAGCACATAGGGACTTTGTGAGCTGCGCCCATGTAAGGTTTTGCTTCTCGGGTTTCTCGGCCATCGCGGCCGGCGCCTGCTCAAGGTGAGGTGCCGGGTGTGGCAATCTGGTGTCTGTATCCACACCCACAGCTGCTTGCATGTCAAGGTCCGCCCTGTGGCCGCGCAGCGGCAAGGATCAAGCCGCACGGCTCGCGCCGATGGGGCCCAAGGGGTGTCGGGGTTCGAGGTGGGGGTGACCAGAGGGCGTGCCTGCGGGCCCAGATGGCAGGCTGCTCCCGCTTTCAGCCGGTCTGCTGGCTATGTATGGAGGAAGGACGCACTCCCTGGTCGCGGGGCGATGGGACATCGCCAGGGTGATGAGTGCTTGGTGGCCCTATGGATGGCCCTTGTGTAGGTGTCATTTTAGTGGAAAGCACGACGCATGTTGCGAGTACCGTAAGGCCAGCTGTGGCTGGAACGCCGAGTTTGATCAGCCAGTGGCCGACTGTAATGTTGTTGAACATCAAGGCATGCCGAAATTGAAGTATCTCCAGGGCTTTGCGACACGCAGTGGAGATCGGATGCATGGTGCCCTCTCACAACCACACCCGTGGCCACCGCATAACAATGTCTTGAGCATCCGGCCCCATCACAGCCAGCAACTGCGGTGGCATGCACCCAATTGTATGAACTAACCTCATCTTCATATTTCACTGAATCAGCATGGGAATCGCGAGCCTCTGGAAGCTGCTCACGGAGGAAGGTGTTGTCCGCAAGCTCAGTGGCTCCGACCCGTCGCAGCACCACACCTTGCTTTCCGAACTGGATGGTACCGCCATCGCCGTGGATCTATCGGCATGGATCATGCAGGCCGATCAACAGCTGGCCCTGCTCCCACACTTTGGCAGGACGGAGCGATGCATGAAGGTTGCCCTCGAGAGGGTGCGTGGTGGTGAGCATGCAGGGCGCAACCCTGCACGCATCATGGGGTTACTGGAGCGCTACTTGCGGTGCAGAACTGGGTGAAGGCGATAAACTCTGTCTTCTGGCATCCTTGCCCATCGCAGAGCATCCAGTGGCTGCGGCATGGCTGCCTTCCGGTGATTGTGGTGGAGGGCCGTGCGCCTGCAGAGAAATTGGCGGCGGTGCAGGCCCGGTATGCCGCCCGCAACGGCGTCGACGGCGGCGGCCGCGGCTCTTCCTCCTTCATAGCACTGGGCAAGTCGGTGGGCGTCATGCTTCAGCAGCTGGTGGGTGCTGAACTGGAGAGCAGTGGAGCTGCATGGCGTGAGCTGGGTGGTACGGAGGGCAGGACCTGAGGCCGAAGGGGGTGAGAGTGACACTGCAGTCCCGTTGAGACGTCCACTGCATTGTGAGGGGGGCCCGGAGGGCTGATGGGCCCACAATGCTTCTGCCCGCCTCCCCTGCCTTCCAGCCAACACTCCTGCACCCCGCTGCAGGGACTGCCGGTGTTCTACTCCCCCGGCGAGGCCGAGGCGACCTGCGCCGCGCTGGTGCGGGCAGGGCGGGTGGACGCGGCCGCCAGCTTCGACTCAGACACCATGGTGCACGGAGCCGAGCGGGTGTACCACACGCTGAAGCTGTCGGTGAGGGGCTTGAGGTTGGCCACCTGCAGTGTTCACTCTGCTGCTAAGCTTGCGGTGTGAAGGCAGCAAGGCGTCCCTGCTGCCGGACCCCATGCCTCCCAGGAAGGTGGCCTGGGCGTGAGTGAAACCCCACCCGCTGCCCCCCGCACCCTCACAGACCCTGAAGCCGGGCGAGTGCGAGCTGGTGTCCTGCGACCTGGGCGACATCCGGAAGGCCCTGGGCATTCAGCGCGGAGGCCAGGTCGCCCTGTCTGTCATCGCCATGCTCGCCGGCTCGGGTGCGCTGCCTGCCTGTTGGAGGCGCGGCCCATGAGTGCTGACTCTTGTGGGAGTGCCCGTCCATGGACAGGCGTCGTGAGCTCCTCTAGAGCGGGGGTGGCATCCTCGCTGCTGCCCTGCATAGCTCACAGCCAGGGTTGCACAGCCCACCTGGGAGCACAGACATGCAGACCCTTGAGCAGCCCAGGCGCCCCACTTCCCCCCACATCCCGCAGACTACGACCTGGTCGGCACCAGCGGCGTGGGATCCGTGGGGAGCCTGAAACTGCTGCGGCACCTCCTGGGGCCCGGCGCCCAGGCAGGCCCATTTGGGGGTTAGGGGGGAGTGTGAGGATGCAAGGGGCCTGGCGCGGCCCCCATGCTCTCTGGACAGCCAGGGGGACTGAGCGGCTGGCATTGCTTGCCCCTCCGACCCTCCCCTGCGTCAGCCTGTTGCGTCGAGCAGCGGTGTCGAGGGTCACGGCGTGCACTCTGCTGCCGCCTGGGCACCCGTCGAACAAGCATGCCGCGGTGAAGCCTTGCATCCCCACAACCCCTTGCCCTTCTCCCCACCCCACCAGGATGACAGCGGCGTGCTGGAGGCGCTGGAGGCCCTGGTAGCCCGGCCGCCGGACGCGGAGCTGGCGGCGCTGACCAAGTGCACGGGCTGCAAGCGATGTGGGCACGAGGGTGGGCGCAAGGGCGCCGTCGCGCGGCACACGCCCAAGAACCCCTGTCCCTGCTGCGCCGAGCTGGACGCGGCGGGGGCAGGGCGGGGGCCGGCGGGCGAAGAGGGGGACGGGGCTGGGGCGGCCCGCGCCGAGGTACTGGGGCGTGGTCGCCGATGGAGGGCCGAGGCCGGGGTGGAGTGCGGGGCTGTGGAGGTGGTGCTGTTGGAGGGGTCCAGGTGTGCCCACTCCCATGCAGTGGCCGTGTGTCTTCCCCACCCTGTGTGTACTGTGATGCTGAGGCAGCGTGCGCCAGATCTGCATGTTGGGTGGCGGAGGGCCCTCAGACCAGCTCCCTCCCCTCACCGTCAACCCCCACCACCACCACCACCATCCTCAACCCCCTCCCACCTGCACCTGTGCGCCAGGGGTGCCGGGCGCGCGCCTTTGCGCGGTGCGACTGCGCCTTCCACCGCCGCGAGGCCGAGCGCGGCGTGGAGGCCATCGCGCGTCGCATCCGGGCCGACGCCGCGCCGCTGGCCGCCGCGCGCGCGGCCGCCGCGGTGTTCCAGCGCGAGGCGGGCGCCGCCGACGCCTACGTGGCCGCTCGCGCAGCGGAGCTGGGCGGCGCTCCCGGCGCGAGGCTGCACTGGTGCGTCGGGATGGTGGGGATAGCATGGAGGAGGGTGGGGTGGGAGGCTCCGAGGATTTGTGGTGTGCGCGCAGGGCGCGCGGGAGCCGGCAGGGTGTGGAATGTGGCCTGTGAGGGGCCGAGCTGATCCCCTCCCTCGAGTCCCAGCAGCACCCAGGGGTGCTGCCCCCCCCAGCCGCGCCTCTGAACTGGCGTCGTCGCACGTCCCTGACCCCTCCGCTCAGTCACCTTCCCCGCCCCAAAAACTCAAACATCAACAGGCTGCACCGGCCACGGACGCTGGCGGTGTGGGCCGAGCTGGAGCGGCGCCGCGTGAAGCTGACCTGGGACCTGCCCATGCTGCGCGGCAAGCTGCTGCCCCTGCTGCTGGACTGGGACCTGGCGCATAGCGGCGAGGAAAACGGGGCCGGGGAGGGGGGGCGGGCGAAACGCGGCCCGAGTTCTGGGCGCGCGAGGTGCAGAAGGTCCAGGGCGGCGCGGCGGCGGGGCCCAGGAAGGCGGCCGGCGCGGCGGCCGGCGCCGCGCCGGCGCCGCCGCGCGGCTGGCGCTATGTCGTGCGCTGGGAGCGCGTGCCCAGCGTCGCGGCGGAGGCCTACCCGCCGCTCCTGGCCGTGCGGCCCCGGGAGCGGAGGGGCCGGGGCGCCGGCGGCGAGGAGGGGCCTGGGCCGGCCAGCCAGAGCCGGGGGAGCCAGGAGGCGCCGAGCCAGGCGGAGGGCGCCGACGCTGCCTCCATCCCCATGACGGTGCGCGGTGGCGCGGGGCAGCGAGTGGGCGTCTCAACGCCCGCTGCATGGCTGCGCGCAATGCATGCAGCGCCAGGATTGTGCACGGACGCATGCGCGCTCCCGACACACACTCACACACACACACATACTCACAAGCACTCACACACACACTCACACACACACTCACACACACATCCTCGCAGCTGGAGGCGTTCGACCGGCACTGGCTGGACGGCAGCACCGCCGAGGCGAGGTCGGTCAGGATCAGCGCCGTCCGGCAACATGCAGCGCAGCTGGAGCAGCGCCACCTGTCCGGGTATGTGGGGCGTGCTGATGTTTGAAGAGCGTGTGGCGAGAGGCGGTAGGGGTGGGGGTGGTTGGGGTGGGAATGTTGCCCCCCTTTCCTTTGCCAGCCGTGGACGCTGCGCCAGTGGCTTGGCCGGGCACCAGGCTCGGCGCTCCTGCCCTCGCGATGCTCGACCAGGAGAGGCCGAGTGGGGGTGCGGCATCGGCGCCGCCCTGCTGGCGCGCAGCCATGGTTACCGAAGGTGTCCCTCGCACCGCGACTTCCCCCCCCACACACTGCCGTCAGTTCCAGATCGGGGGGGCGGGGAGGCGCCAGGCCGGCGCCGGCCTCACCGGAGACGCAGGGCCTGCTGGCGCGGCTGCTGGTGCAGCAGCGCGCCCGAGCCCTGCTGGGGCCCAAGCCCTCCGCCGGGCCCGCTGTGGCCAGGGGCCCGGACTCGGCCGTCCTGGCGGCGGCGCGGGGGTCATCGGTGGTGGGCGACGCACGAGGCGGGGCGGCCACCGCGCGGGCTCCGGCGCGGCGTGGGCGCGGCCTGGCGGAGGGCTGGGCCGGGGCCAGGCCCGAGGGGGGCGGGGGGGAGGCACAGCTTTCTCCCCACCCGCGTGCTGCTGTCGGAACAGCCTCGCCGAGGAAGCGAGGGCTGCGGGAGGCCGGCGGCGGTGGCGGCCCGGCATCGCCTGCAGGCGCTGCCCTCCTGCAGGGTGCAGGGACCCAGCGCTCCCCCGCCAAGTCTGCCGACATCCGGCGGTACGTGGAGCAGGGCAGCCCAGGGCGCCTGGGTGCAACTGCGTGCGAGGGCGGCGAGCTGGACCTCACAACCCCAGAGGGCTGCTGCCGGAGCCCCGCCATCGACCTCACCCAGACTTGAGGGGGCCAAGGGAGTAAGAAAAGTTCTGTCAAAGCAGATGCATGCACACGTTTTGCTCCCTCTTCAAGTCTCGCAACGATTATTACCTTGGCAGTACCTCGCACGAATCTTTTTGCCCAGCTGACTGCCCCTGGCCCGGCACAACCTTGACCTGACGAGATGGCTTATCCTCACGATCTGGAGAAGGAGGTAGGTACTTCCCCTCTGCCTCCTGGTTGTAAGACACACCAGAGTGGTATCCAGGGTGATCTTCCCAATGTGCTCCAGGAATAATAGACAGACAGCATCCTTCCT